ACCCAGTGGTTTAATCCACTACTTACCCACCAACTACACCACATAAACACTGAGTGCCCAACAAGCTGCAAGTAAAATATTAAAAGGTAAAGGGACCCCTGACCATTAGGTCCAGTTGTGACCGACTCTGGGGTTGTGGTGCTCATCTTGCTTTATTGGCTGAGGGAGCCGGCGTACAGCTTCCAGGTCATGTGGCCAGCATGACTAAGCCACTTCTGGCGAACCAGAGCAGCGCACAGAAATGCCGTTTACCTTCCCGCCGGAGCGGTAGCTATTTATCTGCTTGCACTTTGACGTGCTTTTAGGTTGGCAGGAGCAGGGACCGAGCAACAGGAGCTCACCTCGTCACAGGGATTCGAACTGCCGACCTTCTGATCAGCAAGCCCTAGGCTCTGTGGTTTAACCCACAGCGCTACCCGCATCCCACAGTAAAATATTAGGCTATAACAATAACACTCTAGACCAGGGGTAGTCAATCTTTTTATACCTACCGCCCACTTATGCAGCTTTCCTGAAGGTAAAATTTCCTTACCGTCCACCAGTGCTTGACGGAAGGAGGATTCAACTTGTGCCGTAGAACCCCTTAAAGCCCACCTAGAATCCTGAAATGCCCACTAGTGAGTGGTAGGGACCAGGTTGACAACCCTTGCTCTAGACAAAGGAATTAGCTCTTAGGTGGCGGAATGGAGAAAAAGCAGAGGTAGGAAAATATGAAATATTTGATGATAGGTCATATCAACAAGGGAGCAAGAGTTTCTACCCAAACTGCTGCTTTTCATTTGAACCTAGGTTTATATGTTTACACACATTTTTGTCAACATTGGTTGCAGAACTGCATTGCAAAGTTTACATAAGGATTTTGGTGGTTTGGTTCTCTTACTGTTTTGACGCATGAGGAATTTGGTAAATTCGGCTTTAAACGCAAACTGAATCAAATTTCTTTCTTACTCATAGTCCTAACCCAGAGATACATTCAGAAACAAATCAGACAACTACCCCCATGTCTCTGATCTTAATGTCTGGTATCAGCAGACCTTTAAAAAAAAAAAAAAACTAATTAAGTTGTAATGAAAATTCAACAGCATTTCTCTGAAACTTTGTCCTAATGCACACATGTTTGTATGCAATTTTCCCTAAAGTGAAGCATTTATTATCTGTTGCTTTCACTCATCTGTGTACACATTTTGTACACATTACTTGATTGAAAAACTGCGCTGCAAAATTTTGAGAAGTGCCAGTTCTGAAGGATGAAGGGGCTTTGGTCCGTATACTGTTTCAGTAAATGTGAATGCGGGAGGTTCGGCTTTAAATGTGGATGGAACTGAATTTCTGCACCACTGTACTGCTATCCTAACTGGGTATGCTGTGCATGTGTGACTACTGTAACCACATGAGCGAGGCTAACTGGGTGGGGCTTTCCGTTTTCCTAAAATCTTGCTCCCGCTGCAGCTTGAAAATGTTGAGATCGCCCTTAGAAGCAGGAGTTCCATGTCGCACCATAGCGATCTAGAGCTAAACAACAGAGTGCTTTTCTATACTAAAAGAAAACTTAATCAAAATAGGAGCAGGCACAGCTCGTTTATCTTGGAGGCCATGACAGATCACTATCTAGTGTTGGAATCCATTTACGCGAATGGCAGAAAAGTGTGGCTTATGTGCTGCTGCTTGTCTGGATCAGCTGTTTCTCCCCCCCCCCCAAAAAAAATAAGCTGCCCGGAATCAACAGTCCCTAACTCCCCCCCCCTTTCCAGTCTGTTTAGCCTCATTTAGCCACTCAGATCAGCCAAAAATTAAGCAACGCCACTTGTAATCTGATCAAAGGTAAAGGAGAGTCAGAGTGAAAATCCGTCTCTTTTGCAATCTTCATGAGAGCTGGGGACTTCAACGGCTTGGTATGGTGTGCAGCTAATTGCACATAGGGCTGCTCTGTGTTGTATGGGATGGAATATGACTGAGCCTCAATCTGGTAGATCCAGATTTCGAACAATGGTAGCAAGAAGCCCTTTGCCCCATCATCATATTTCCTTTGGCTCCTTATCATATCCATTTATAGCAGCATGTAACAAGCACTGCCGCTCTCTCAATGTGAACCTTTCTCAGCACATGACCATTATTTAATTTATTTATTAGCTATTGATTTCCTTCATCTCGCATTTTTCCTCTTGGGAGACAAACTGATTTGAGCGGCTTGAGTTCTGAGCTCTGCTTTCTAATGCTCCAGCTTAGCTGATGGCTGTTAAGAAGGCACTTTGAAATGCAGCAGAACCTAACCCCATGAAACAGGACTAGCCCTTCAGTTTTGTTTTATTTCTGAAAAGTCTGCAGGTATCCTCTGTTGCAGATATTAATAATGTGCAGCATGAAGCAATTGAATGCATAAAAGCTGAATCCTTTACGAATAATTTTTTTCCAGACCCACAAGTATCAGTCAAAGTTTTACTAACCAGAACTTATTCAAAACAGGTACAAAAACATCAATGATATACCCTGAAAGTTGTATAAAGCATATGCATATTCAAGCATAGGTTCACAATTACGATCAGAGCAAAATTCAAATCTCTGTCTCTCCCATAGCTTGCATTAGCCTCTATTCAGCCTAAGGCTATATAGCTCCTGGAGATGCTTCCTTTGTTGTTTCTGTGGTGTCCAGAGAAAGATTAACAGGCCACTCCCTGTAAGATGGAGATTTGGAATTGAATACCCTCACATGATCTAAGGTTAAACACTCGTGTGAGAGCTAGCAGAGAACAACAACAGTTAATGATCAACCCAGCCAGACCCCAGAGAGCTCTCTTCTTTTTTTAGTATACAGTGGTGCCCCGCAAGACGAATGCCTCGCAAGACGGAAAACCCGCTAGACGAAAGGGTTTTCCGTTTTGGAGGTGCTTCACAAAACGAATTTTCTATGTGCTTGCTTCGCAAGACGAAAATGTCTTGCGAGTTCCTGCGGGGTTTTTTTCCTTTCCCTCCCCCTTTTTCCCAAGCCGCTAAACCGCTTATCAGCTGATGGCTAAGCCGCTTAACAGCTGATGCTAAGCCGCTTATCAGCTGATCGTTAAGCCGCTTATCAGCTTATCGTTAAGCCGCTTATCAGCTGATCGTTAAGCCGCTTATCAGCTTATCGTTAAGCCGCTTATCAGCTGATCCACTAAGCCCGCTAAGCCGCTAATACAGTACTGTAGCACTAATCCGCTAATGGGCTTGCTTCGCAAGACGAAAAAACCCGCAAGACGAAGAGACTCGCGGAACGGATTCTTTTCGTCTTGCGAGGCACCACTGTATTGCAATCCAAATGGAATTCGGAAAGACAGAACCTGCTCCTAACTAATCTCTGTGTTGAGCAGGTAAGTTGCAGAGCAACCATAACCCTTCATATGCTGGGTGGGGACATCTGCTCACTGAGCTGGCCAGGGGCGCCAACTATACAACTATTAAAGGCTCATCGCAGCATCCTTCATCACCTCCCTGCGCCTCAAAGAAGCATAAGTACCTTGGATGGGATGAAGGCTATCGTAGAAGCAGGCATGGAAAAATGAGAGGGACAAGAACAAGGCAGGAGATGGAGAACCTGCAGGAATGTGACCTTTTCTTCATACATCTTTAGGCTTAGAATGGCTGACTACCCTTTTCCCTGGATTTGACTGCATTACAGAAAGAGGAAGTGCTATAGCTCCGTGGTAAGAGTGTCTGCTTTGGATGCAGAAGGCTCCAGGTTCAATCCCTGGCCTCTCCAGGTACGACTGGGAGAGAGTTTCTTGCCCGAAAGACTGGAGAACCCATTGTCTGGGTCAGTCTAAGGCAGTACTCTATGATCCTAGAGCAACAGAAAGTGTGTTTGTGTCTTGCGAATGCTACATACGGTGAAAGGCATATGCCTTGAAATCCCGTGTGGTAAAACAGATCTGCAAACACCTTGAGAAATATCTTCTCTTTGTGACAGAATTTTGCTTTCAAATTAATCTGTTGCATGAGGCTGCTGCCATTTGGATCTCGGCAGCAAAGATAAATTATGCCAAAATGAAAAGTGGAAGGGGTGGGGGGAGCCAGTCTAGACAAAAAGAACCGTATGCCAGTGACAGTCACCAGAGAGTTTGTGTAAGCTTTGATTTGTGACTGGCCAAATTAATTCCTTTTTCTTTTTCTTCCTTGCCTCGATACATTTTCTCTTTCTTTTTTCAGCAAGGGGCCTAACCAGCCCTAGTTTAAAACCCCTTTAGCAACTTCAGATTTCATTAAGTATATCACAGAGAGCACTGAATTCCCGTCTTCTCTTTGGAAGATGGTGGAAACCTGCCCTTTCCTAGGCCTTTGTTATAATCACAGGTTTGCCACATAGTTTAGCAACACACAACACAGGATTAGCAGCAAAGAACTCCAGAGGCCACTCTTCAGCTAATATGGATGACACCACCAACAACAGAGAAGAAAATGAGGGATCAGGAAATGCATTTAGCCTAAGGGGACTCGGAGAGGCTGAATTCTGAAGCTGGCTTGTATTAGCTTCAATAATAAGTTTAATTCCTAATATTTGGAGGCTGGGGGAGAGAGAGAGGCTTGTGTCTTTGTTACTGGGCACGAGTGTTAAAGATTGGATTAATGTAGGCACTTTTAGGATTGTGACACATTTGAGTTGAAGCATAGGAGCCAACTCCTAGGGGACAAGGTCCCTTTGGCCCCCTCAATAAAATATTTGAGAAGGCCCCTCCAAAATTGATGGGCATTGACATTCAAATTATGTGTATGTACCTCATCTTGTGATTATGTGGGGCAGGGCTTGCCTGTCCCCCCCCCAATATTTTATTCAAGTTGGCACCCCTGAGTTGAAGCAATATCTTGTTGGGATTCAGGCTTCAATGTGTCAAGCTGCCCCAGGGCCAGTCCTACTCTTAGGCACAGTAAAATGGCTTTCTCTAGCAGCAGATGCTGAAAGATGGAGAGCAATGGCAAAGTGTTGGAGGACAGAGTTCTGTGTGCCACATGCCCTGCTCTAAGCTAGCCTGCTGCTGTCAGATGTAGCGAGGGATACTGAGCTGTCGCCATCAGTGCTGAGGCCTGTTTCAACTGCCAGTTCAGTTGGCTTCTGTACATGGAATGGGAGATGGTGCCATTTTGCTCTTTACCTCAGGCAGCAAACTATCTTGGCCTTGAATGTTTCTAGGACAGAGTCTCATAAAGTGAAGCCTATTCATGCCAAACAAGGTCCTTGATGAAAAGGACAAGAAATTCACTGGGCCAGGTCTATTATGTTGAAGGACCTGAAGATATTCTCTGTGAAACTTGAAGTATGTGCTAAGCTCTCCTTGACAGCAAAACACCACCTCTCCTCATAGCTTTTGTATCTGGAGATAGACTGTTCCTTGAACAGTTCGATCTTCCATGTGCCTGCTCAGAAGGAAGTCTCATTAATCGCAGTGGGGCTTACTCTGAAGTAAGTGTTCCTAGTAGTGTGACCTCAATCTGATATATGCATTGTGTTTGCTTAATTGAGAGGCCATGCTTATGCATTTGTATGAGTCTTTTTGCTGCAATATTCACACACACACACACACACACACACACACACACACACACACACTTTAATCCAGTCAGCTTATTGCATTAAAAAAAATGTATATCACAACCGAAGCAATTTTGTGAAACTGGCTATAATGCAACATCTGCTGATAAGTGCCTTGGGGATGCGAGACAGAGGCAAACTGCTTGCCGCGTGAGAAATCGGCACAACACCATGCAATAATGTTGCAGTGTGAAGAGTCACGGAAGCGCCAGAGCCTGGTTGTGGATCAAATTGTTGTGTTGGTAATTAGAAAACAATAAGACTACATGCAATTGAGCCAAGATGTATTAAAAGTCCGGTAGCAATTCCCCCTTAATGCTGACTAGAAAAGAAACAACTGGAACAGAGGAAACCGGAAAGCATTGTTTATCTGTCCTCATTACAAGGTCTGTTTGAATAACTGCATGTCACCTCAGCCTGTTTAACCTTTTGTGAAAACAATGCACCTTAAAGAAGAGCCATTGGATGTTTGGTGCACAGCGTTGCATATAAAAATCTCGCATGCATATAGCTATAGCTATAGGATAAAGAATGCATAGGCCAACCTCATTAAACTACTGGCCCATCACCCAGATTACAGTACTCAAAACATCCCATGTGTTGGACATTTTAAAATATCATGCCCTGAAAATCAGGCCTGAAATATTCTCCCAGGGGTTACCAGAAATGGACTGAGAATGGATGTTTTGGATCTTTGTGTGAATGCATGAATTGAACAGCACCTTTGGTCTGCGGTTGCCCTTTGTTCCAGAAACCCTACTGAGAAGATTTTCATGTTTTTGCTCTAGATCCCAGGTGGAGAACTATATTTATTGGGGCCAAAATGTACTCCCACCCTAGCTCAGGCATCTCTATTGGGTCCTCAGAGCTTTCACTCTGGCCTTTGGGACTTGCGAGGCCACACAACCCTCTCACTAGGCCTCTGTTCTCACTGGATCTTCTCCATACCCCCCTTTTGCCTGCCCTGAATGTATCCTTGAACTCTGGTGCAGCTTCTTCCTTGCCCAGATGGAGAACAGAGAAGGGGCCTGTGAATGTGTGTAGACGTCAGCCCACAAACCACTTCCAGGCATAGAAAAGAACAAGGATGGGCAACATCAGCAGCTGTGATTGGTCAGGCAGTACAAACCCAATCCTGCAGGGGTAGACAGCATGGTGCCCTGCAGGTGGTTGTTGGACTCCAACCACCACCAGCCTCATCCAGTGTGTCCAATAATAAGGAGTGATAGGAATTGTAGTCTTATGACTACAACTCATATAGGACCCACAAGTTGCATACTAAATGCTCCACTACAAATGTGCTACAAGCAGAAGAAGCAGGTGTGCAATATGCCCCATACCATAGGAGATGGTGTGGCAAAGGAGCACTGAGAAGGCCCATGAAAGCAAATTGCAGCTGTGTTCAGAGGCAATGCTAAGCCGAAATCCAGGGGCGGAGAATCTTAGTCCCAGTCAGTGGCATAGCGTTGGTTGCTGGCGCCCAGGGCCCCACATCGGCCAAGCCTATGCTAAAGCCCAGGCCTTAACTTCACATTGTGTGGTTGTAGCACTTTGAATCCTTGTTGTTTGCACCATAGCCCGAGTACTATATTGTTTGGACCACATGTTTCTGACCCTGCTGAGTTCAATCATTTTAACTGTGTTGTGCAGGTATGGTTAACATTTCCCCAAATGGGTTAACTGATGTTGAAAACCCCATGCACCTTACAGTCAGGAGTTCCATGGCATCACAGGCCATTTTTTATTTTTAAAAAGTTATCCTGAACTCAGTAGTAACTAGCTGATTTTTTTTATTAAAAAAAAAAAAGCAAGAAAAAAATGCACTTTTATAAGCCTCTGAAAATATGTATTATTAAAACAGGCAAATCCTAAAGCATTCTCAAATCCACAGGAAAGGAGCTCAGATGACTCAAAAGCCGAGTAAATTGCTAGCAGTCGTGGGGAGACAGAAATCCAAAAGGGAATTCCAGCTCGGGGAGAGAAGAGGTAGTACAATAGAAAGTAACGAATGGCATTTAATTGTTTTTTTATATCGGCTAGTTACGCGAGGGGAGAGAAGGAAGATTATACATACGTATCATCATTTAAAATACTCAGATCACTGGATGAGTGAATTGTACAAACACCACAGGGGAGGGGGGGAGGCCCTTTAGCTGATCAAATAAGAACAACCACCCCCTGGAGTATATTGGGTGAACCCAAGAGAATGAGGATGAGTTAGAACAGGGAGGCCCAATTTTCTGTTATCTATTGCTTGTCTTGCTTCAGTATCTCAGATATTGGGGGGGGGGTATTGTTGTTGTTGCCTCCTGTCTGTCTCAAGAGACAATGGAGTGTGACTCCGGGGGTGACTATGGGGTTGCTGCGCTCATCTCACTTCCAGACCGAGGGAGCCGGCATCTGTCCACAGACAGCTTTCCGGGTCTTGTGGCCAGCATGACTAAACTGCTTCTGGCGCAATGGAAAACCGTGACAGAAACCAGAGTGCATGGAAATGCCGTTTATCTTCCCGCCGCAGCAGTACCTATTTATCTACTTGCACTGGTGTGCTTTCGAACTGTTCGCTTGACAGGAGCTGGGACAGAGCAATGGAAGCTCACCACGTCGTGTGGATTCGAACCGCTGACCTTCTGATCGGCAAGCCCAAGAGGCTCAGTGGTTTAGACCACAGAGCCACCTGCATCACTATAACCTCTGGGCCAAACATCTTTCCCAGGTTTTTTGACTGCTACCAAGCCTGCGCAACTTCTTTCACCTGAGTTAATAGCACAGCACAAGAATGTTTATACATTCTGCCTTCTTCAAAACTGTGCTCAATCTCAACATTTTTGAAATACGCGTTCTTCACAGTGCGCAAAGGTTGATCTTTTTAAATCTTCCCCAATAGCGATTTTCCTGTTTTCTCGTACTTGAAACTGCAAGTGAACCGTGAGTCTGAATTACTAGAATTTGGGCAGGTGTACCTTCTCACCTTGCTTTGTTTTGAAATGTAATGAATTGTTTGATGTTTTAATCTGGTTTTTAAAAAATTGTATTATGGCACATTTGCTAGCATCTACTGTGGTGAGCCGCTTTGTGAAACTTTTGATCGAGGAGCAGCCTGCAGTGCTGTAGATAAATAAATAAACCCCAGTAATGTGAAAGGAGAAGCCACTGTATGCCAAACTTCTATCTTCCTGTGTATTTTTTGAAGGCATAATTAGAAAACATACCTGGCCGCTCTAGTGTCCAATGAATTATGCTTGCAGATGTGTGCCCCATTGAAAATATCAGTGTATGGGTGAGACAAAGGAGGCGCTCTTAGGGGTTTCTACTGAACCTGGGAAAACAAGAGGCACACACACAACGTACACAGAATGAAAAATGTCCATTGACTAGAATTGATGTGAAAAGCATGATTTTGGGAGCTTATTCCAGCTAACCCTTTTAAGCTTCCTTTGTGATTAATGGCTTCTAGTTTATTTCAGAATCAATTTGCAAATTGTTCACCCTGGATAACCTCTGGTGTAATATTTCTGTCCAGGAGTGGGACAGGGGAGGAAAGGTGATACGTTAGTCACACAGATGGGTCATAATATAAATGGCTTGTAACCCATAGTTACATTTATGAAATCAGCCCAGTTCATTGGTTTCAGGAGCGACATTTCCCCCCTCCCACTTCATGGTGTATGCTGACCATAGCAGGATGTAGATTTTCCCAGTTTTGTTTTGTTATTTGTCTCCATGTTGGTTTTGTTCTGCCTTCTGCTCTGTGTTCTGATTTTATATTGAGAATTTCTAGTTAGCTTCAGAAATGGCCCATACACCATTGACCTCTTTTGTTTTCCACCCCCCTCTCCCAAATAATCCAGATTGATCATTGTGCATATTGAAACACACATTTGAAAAATGTAGGGTAGTATTTCAAGCCAGGTCCATTGATTTCAGTGTGTCCGCTATGAGTAAAATTTAGGTGAATACCACCCATGGTTTCTGATTGTGGAAATGAATACATGTTCGTCTGAAAACAGCATCACCACAACTGAGCTAAGGTTGATAAAGAATGCGCACATTTTCATGTGCACTGATGTCACTCAAAAAGAAAAGAAAGCACACTTCTGAGCAGAGTGGTATTTACAGGAGGGCAAACAGGGCAGTTGCCTGGCATGGCAAATTTAAAGAGGCAATGATGATCACCCATTGCTAGCTGGTAGGCTGGGGTCTCTTTCCACACATCCTGGAGCCGGGAGGGTTGGCTTCCAAGGATCAGAATAATGAAAGCCAGGATTCCACCCCAGTTGCTCTCATTCTTCTGGTTCAACCCTGCTGCTCCATCAGAGTAGCCCGGAGTCCCCTAGACATTCCTTCATCCCACCTGTGCTTCAAAACTAGACAAAGATGAACAGGTGTGTTTTTGCCTTGGGGTCTGTTTGGCCAAGAGCTTTGGCTGTGATTGCATCTCCTTTGTGCTGCTTTCCATCCAAGGGCCTTGTCCAGAGAGAGGAGGAGAGAAGAGATCAGCGTTGACCCCTTGCAGGAGCACCCCTGTCAGAGCAATTCACTGTCAGAGACCAGACTGAGGATTACAGCTCTGATGAGGAATGGTGGGAATCTCCCCCTCTTCCTGCTCTTGACCAGGATTCTGAAGCTGCCCAAGAACAATGGAGCAGTATAGATTTAGAGACTTGGTTTGCAGAAGGACATAGTTCAGAAAACAACAGCTGGGCAGAGCTGAGTGGGGAACAGCTAGGAAGAGAGAGAGATAACTGACTCCCCTTCACCGGAAAGTGTCCAGCCTATATCTCCAAGGACAAGGAGAGCTGATAAGGTTAGAAGGCTCAGTGGTTGCGAGATCAGGTTGCAAGAAGGGGGAAGTGACGGAGATAACTTGGGGGGGGGAGTAGGAGGGAAGTTTAATTGGGAGCACCTTTATTCCAAGAATGGATGCTTTGTTCTTTTGCTGTGATCATGAAAGACTCTTTAAATGGTAAGGGACTCTTTTCACTTTGTCCTGCTTATCTACAGCCAAAGGGGGGGGGGGAGAGAAGCCAAGTCCCTGGAGGCTGACATTCACATATCAGGCACATCACCACTTCCTGTTTGGGGTTTGTTTGCATGATGTGTTGAGCAGAGCACATCACCCTTCTAGGGCAGGTGAGTCGAGGACAGGACGAGCTCTGGCTTGTGCCCTGGGTGCTCTCAGTTCTGTCTCTAGGTGCCCCTGAGGAGTCCCAACAGGGCAGAAGCAGATAGGGTTCAGTTAGAGGCCCTGTGCATTCGGAATAGGAGAAGCGGGGACAGCAAATCTCTTCTGGCAGCAGACATGATTAAACATCACTGTTTCTGAGCAAATACTTTTTTAAAATAAATGATCAGAGAGGACAGATCTATGGAATGAGACTCAGAGGAACTGCATTGATTTTTAGTGATTGTAGCCTGAGGGCTTCCTCTGCTCTCCTTTCGGATGATAGTTGTGGTGGGAGGTACAAAACCTGTGCTGGGATATTTACAATATTACTTGGAGCCAAAACGCAAAAAAAAGTTTCAGATATTACCATTCAGTTGAAAACGAACAAACAAAATGTGCATCCCCCATGTTCAGAGATTTCTGTCCTGAAATGCCAAAAGATTGTCAAGAAATTAGGTGGAGTGCATACAGCACTTGAAAATGGAAAGGAGCTCCATGATGCACTTCTGAAAGCAAATTTCATCTTCTCTTCCCCCACCCTGAAAAAAATAATGTTGTATTCAGTATTTCCATGTGCATGTTTGAGAGGAATGTGAAGCAACAGAAAGCTGTAAACCACACAGGCATTGTGATCTTTACAAAGTCTGGGAATGCAATCTGAAATAATAACAGACAAGCCGGTACATTGGTACGGCTCCTTCACCAGAAACTGATAATTTGGAGTGACAAAATCAGGAGCGAAATTCAGAGGGAGAGGAATTTCATAACCAGTCCTAGTTAAATGTGAAGTTACAGTTGCATTAGCAAGAACAGTGTCAGAAATCTTGCAAATGTGTCATATAATTTTGTTTTAAGAATGCAAGCTCTTGGATGTGAGCCCTGGATTTCCAGCAAATTTATTCCATTTGTCTAGCAGTGAGACATGCCTCTGGATCACTGCCCCTTTTCGTTTGATTTTCTTTTATACTTAGATGACATTTGGCTTCATCACAGAATATGAGCAGAGAACCTCTTGCATGATGACTCTTGAAGCTGCAATATAATTGTAGAAAGGAAGAGACTGGGGTCTTTTCCCCCCATCCAGAAATAAAGGAGGCCAGATTTTCAGGCAATACCCATCATGACCAAAGGAGCTGATCTAAACCTAGGCTAAACCAGGTAAGAAGACCACCTAAGTGGAGAGAAACAGCTAAGCAATAATACGTTTTAACATCAGACTGGCTTAATGATTACCTGTCTACCCTACCCCCAAAAGAAATCAATTATCAGCACATTTAATCTCTAGCAATACTATTGTCTATCATCATCATCATCATATTTCTTAGTTTTCAGGGTGGGTTGGAATAATTTAGAAATGGAATATTAAAAATGGTTAAGATGACTTAGAGTCAAGACAATAGGTTGGGCCCAAAAATATGCACCTCAAGTATCAAAAGCCAGAAGTGTGTTCGCAGCATTCAATGAAACTATATAATGAAGGTCCATATGTTCCTCCATTGGGAGGGAATGCCACAAATGCCTCAGAGAAAAGGTAAAAGTAAAGGACCCCTGGACTGTTAAGTCCAGTCAAAGGCGACTATGGGGTTGCGGCACTCATCATCACCATCATCAAACTTTTTATTGGCATC